TAACTTTTTTCTAAATTTTGTCTTAGCTACAGTTTTGCTAGTTTGATGTTCAGCTGCTGTTTTGTCAGTCTTAGCTTTTAGCTACTGTTTTGCTATTTTAGTGTTACCTTTTTTTCCTAATTTTGTCTTTTAGCTACTGTTTTGCTGGCTTTGAATTTTAGCTGTGGTTTTGTGGCTCTTTGGTTTTAACTGCTGTTTTGAGGATTTTAGCAACTGTTTTTTTTAGTCTTATAGCTTCTTGATGTTTTAAGTTTTTAGTTACAGTTTTGCTAGTTAAAAATTTTAGCTGTTTTGTTTAATTTTTTGTGTGTGTGTTTGCTGCTGTTTCTGCCTTAGCGTTTAGTTGCTGTTTTGCTATTTTTAGTATTTAGTAACATTTTTTCTAAATTTTGTGTTTTAGCTACTGCTTTGCTAGTTTTTAATTTTAGCTGCTGTTTTTTTGGTTTGTGCTTTAGCTGCTGTTTTATTAATTTAAGCTTTTACCTATTGTTTTTCCTGTCTTAGCTTTTAGAGTAAGCTGTTTGGGGGAAGAATCAGTTTTGTGTTGTGTGTTTCCTTGACTGATGAAGCCTTCTGGATGGAAGGTGAAACGTCTCAGCACAAAAAAAAGAAACTGTCCAGATGACCTGATTGAAAAGTGTTGGATTTTAGCTATATTGTTTAATATGTTGGCATTGTAGCCAGTGTTTTAGCTGATTTTGGTTTTGTTTTGATCATCTTACCTTTAATAATTCGGCTCTCCGTCTCTTTCTTCCTGCTGGCTACTTTGATCGGTCGTTTTAGCTCCTGCTTGAGAGGAGCAGCTGTTTTAGCTCATGTAGAGACTCTTGAGTGACACAGAGGGATGTGCTGAATCAACAGGGATCTCACGTCCTCTTCAAACTTGTGGTTTGTCACAGGACTGTGGTTTAGAGGAAATCAGAGCGCTGTGCTGGGAGCAGCTGGAGCCCATCTCTGAACAAACTCTTCTTCAGATCTTAGCAGGTGAGTCCAGTTCTCACGACTCGTTCACATCATGATCCATTTGACTTCCGTACATTTCTCAACATCTTTCTCATTCCACATTTTTGTGCTATTTCATCAAATCAAAACATTCAGCTCTTTCAGCACAATCCTATGACTTTTGGTATTGGTGCAACTTTAGCTTTTTGAAGTATTTAGCTTTTTCCACCATTTTTTTCTCATAAAAAATGAATCGATTCATTTTACATCCTTCAAATCTTTAGCTCTGTTTACAACCTTTTACTGCTCCTTTCACATTTTGTTCTGGTTCAGCTTTCAGCTTCCTTCTGGAAATTTAAACTTTTTTTTTTCCAGCTGTTTTGTGCTCCTTTCAGATTCTTTCTATTAACAACATTTTTGTGCTTCTTCTGACTTCTTTTTGCTAATGTCGGCTTGTTATGTACCTTTCAGCTTATTTCTGCAAGTTTCGTATTTTTCTGCTTATTCAGCTACTATTTAGATGTTTTTCTGTTAAATTTGAGCTTTTTTCAGCTAATTCCACATTTTGGCATTCATTTAATTTTTTTCAGCCTAATTCAGCAAAAATGTGCTCTTCACTTCCTTCTGGTAATTTAAGTTGCTGATTTTTTTTTTAGCTACTTTTGAGCTGTTTTTTGTTGCTTATTTCAGCTTTTTTCAGTTAATTTCCACTTTTTGTGTTCATTTTTGTTTCTTTTAGCCTAATTAGCTAAACATGTTTCTGCTTTCTTCTGCTAATTTAAGCTTGTTCTACCTTTTCAGTTTATAAAACTGAGAATTTTTAGCCAATTTCAGCTGCTTTCAGATAAATCCAAGTTTTTCTTGATAATTTCTGATACTTTCAGCCTAATTAACTTGTTTCTGCTAATTTCAGCTTATTTTACTTCAGCTTTTTTCTGCTAGTTAAAGCTTTTTCTGCTATTTAAGCTTCTATTTAGCTGTTTTTATGCAAATTTTAGCTTTTTCCACATTTTTTTTAGCTCGCTTCAGCTCTCTCCACTTCCTTCTGGTAGTTTAAGCTACTTTCTACTTTTCAGCTAGTTTTTTTTCCTCCACTAATTTTAGTTGTTTTAACTGATTTCCTATGTTTTGTGTTAATTTCGGCTTATTTGAACCTAATTCATAAATATGTGTTCTGTTTTCTTCTGCTAATTTAGGCTTGCTCTTCCATTTCAACTACATTTCAGCATGTTTTTAGCTAATTTCAGCTGTTTTTCAGCAATAAGCATTCACACTGCATTTTCACAGGAAATGTAATTTGTCTAGTTTTGTTTGGAACCAATCGGTGCAGCTGTTTGTTTGTTTGTTTGTTTGTTTGTGTCGCAGGAGAAGAGCCGGCAGCTGGAGTCACCAGAGACCGGACCTCAGAGAGCCAGTCAGTATTCAGTCGTAGAACCTGCTCCATTTAAAAATGGTTGCTTCATCTTTTTTTCTTTCTTGTGTTGTTAGGCAGGACAACAACGTCGACTCCACATCTTGCCTTAAGGAACCATCAAAAACGGATGAGCCTAAACAAGGTATATTTAAGTTTGAGTTTTGTGCAATATTGTGAGATGTCACAAGACTTATTGTTGTGGACGACTCTCAACTACTACCTCATTTAATTGTAGCTCAGTATCCTTAAAATTGACTGAGTTAAAGCCATCTATGTGTTTGCAAATGTTGATTAGCTATGGCGGCCATCTTTATTTGGACTGACTCTCAAAGCTTTTCTTTTATAGAGGTACATCCAGCCATTATTTCCTGGACGTTTGATTAAAATCCATCCAGTGCTTCATGAGATATTTTGCTAACAGACAATCAAAGCCGTCTTCAAATAGTTAGAAATTTTTAAGCAAAGTGGCGCAATGTGTTAGCACTTAGAATTTGTTTTTGGGATCGTCTCAGCTACTACAGCACCAAATGTTAGCTTAATAACTGAACAATTGACTGAGTAACAGCCATTTTTTGTTTTTAATGTTGGCTTTGGCAGCCATTTTGAATTGAGTTGATCCATTAATTACATTCTGCAACATGCATTGAAATCGGTCCCGTGGTTTGAGATACCACACACACGTTTTGAAGATTCACTCAGGAGTACAAAACGTAACACTTTAGGTTTGATTTGATTTTGCTCCGTCAGAGGCTGCCGGTTCTGGGGAGGAGAGCGACGTGCTGAGCATCAACGCCGACACCTACGACAGCGACATCGAGGGATCCAAAGAGGAGCCGCCTGCGAGAGCTGCAGCACCGGGGCTGAAAGCGGGCGCCGGCGAAGGGGAGCGCTCAAACCTGACCGCGAAGCCCGAGCCGACTCAGCCGGAGACGAAGAAAGACATCCAGAGCGACATAGACAGGAGCGTCAGTGAAATCTTGGCGTTCTCTCCCGCTGCTTGTAAAGATGGCGGTTCAGGACTGGAGGGAGCGCCGCAGAGCGCCGACGCAGATTCAGGCAGTCAGCCGTCGATTCAGCAGCTGGAGCTGCTGGAGCTGGAGATGAGGGCGAGGGCCATCAAGGCTCTGATGAAAGCCGGGGATAAGAAGCTCTGCATGTCCACCAACACTTAGCTGGTTTTATTTTAGGTTTTAATTTAGGTTATCTTTTTTATATTCCTCTTCTTGTTTGTTGTTGAGCATTTGAATACCTAATTTATTGTTCAAGTACTGCACTATTAAAGTCATGATGTATTTTTATTTTATTGGAATCATTTGGTACTTTGTTTACTGCCGAACCCAACATGACCCCTGATCCAACTATAAATGTAATTTTCCACCTTGGCCTCTAGATGGCAGCAATACTCCAGGAAACCACGTGGTTTGTCTCAGGTGCTTCTAAAAACATGTTTAAAAAGTTCTTTCTTTTTTTTTGTCACTCATTTCAGAAAGTGAAACTTATATGTTACATAGATCCATCACACATGAAGTGAAATATTTTACACCTTTATTTCTGGTAATTTTGATGATTATGACTTACAAATAATGATAAAAACCAAAGTCATTGTCTCAGAAAATTAGAATATTGTGACGAGGTTCAGTATTGTAAACTCCCGGTGTCACACCCTGATCAGCTGATTAACTCCTAGACATGAGCTACAAATGTCTCGTTCTTCAAGTCCAGCCACTCCTGGACCAGAGACGACATCAAAAGTGTCTTACCTGCTGAGGAGACAAAGAACTGGACAGTTGCTCAGTGGTCCAACCTCCTGTTTTCAGATGAAAGTACATTTTCCTGTCATTTGGAAATCAAGGTCCCAGAGTCTGGAAAAAGAGTGAAGAGGTCCAGAATCCACGTTGCTTGAAGGCCAGTGTGAAGTTTCCACAGTCTGATGGTTTGAGTCCATGTCCTCTGCTGGTGTTGGTCCACTGTGCTTTCTGAAGTCCACAGTCAACAGCATCTAGAAGGAGCTTTAGGGGTTCTCAACCTTTTTGGGTTCAGGGACCCCCTCATAACCTTCATGTTTATTAAATAATTTTCAATTTGTCTCTTTAATGCAATGGAAACATTGGTTTAACTTAAAAACACTTAAGACCTGTTCTTTAATAGTGTTAATACAATTTTATACTTTTAAACATGGGGTATTCAAGATGGACTTAACAACATTTTTAATTTCAGCTTCCAAAAGTTTCAGTTTTGAGAAAATGAAGTGTCAAAAATCACTTTAAAATCTTACCTAGTCACATAATGAACATAAATGTATTATTGCCACTTGCCAAACAGTATTCATAGCAAGTAACGGGGCTTGATTTGTAAACCAATGGTGGAAAAGTGAAGTGCAGAATAATCTAGTGAAAGAAAGAGGTTTGCCAAGTAGACATGAGACAGTGATGGGACCAAAAAAAGAGGAAAATAAGGAGATTAAAAGCAAATGATGAGTTATACAAGATGTTGAACACGAAGGAGGGAGAGAAAGATCAGGCTAGATAGGATGTGCAGCAGGTTCGGCTTGTTAAAGATGGCGTGATGGGAAGATGGAGGGAGTACTTTTGAATGAAGAGAATGAAAAAGAAAGAAGAGTAGCGGTCATAGAAACTGTAGACCAGTCTGGAAAGCTCTAAAAAGAATGAATGAAGGAGAAGGCAGTATATAGGACCTGATACCAGTGGAGGTTTGGAAATGTCTAGGAGTCAAGGTTTTTGATTCAAATATTCAGAGGCATGTTTGAGGATGAGAAAATGCCTGAGGGATGGAGAAGAAGTGTGCTGGTACCCATTTTTAAGAACGAGGGTGCTGTCCAGAGTTGTAGCAACTACAGGGGAATTAAGCTGACGAGTCACAGTGAAGATCTGAGACTGAGAGAGAGTTATGGAAGCAAGACTTTGTGAGCAGCAGTATGGTTTCATGTCAAGAAAGAGCACCACAGACGCCATCTTTGCTTTGAGGATGCTGATGGAGAAGTACAGAGAGGGTCAGAAAGAACTCTGTGGATTTAGAAAAAGCACATGACAGGGTAGGGAGGGGATCAGTTGGCTACAAGGAGCCGAGGTCAAAGGTGCAGGACTTCAAGGGTTTAGGGTCCACTGTCCAGGAGGACACGGACTTTTGTAAAGAGGTGAAGAAGAGAGAGGCAGGATGGAGTGAATGTAGAAAACTTTCAGGGGTGATTTGTGATAAAAAGGTGTCAGGAAAGGCCAAAGGAAAGTTTACAAGAGTGTAACGAAAGCTATGTTGTATGGTCTGACAGTGGCACGGATAAAAAGACAGGAGAAAGAACTGGAAGTGGCAGAAATGAAGATGTTGAGGTTCTTCTTAGGAGTGACAAGGATGGATAAGATTAGGAACGAGCTCATCAGAGGTACAGCACAGATTGAACAACTGATGCCTCGCTGTGGCGACCCCTGAAGAATTAAAGTTTAGATATTTTTCATACTCCAGTTTTTGTTTGTGGCTTAACATTTGAACAGCTAATTTATTGTTCATGTACTGCCCAATTAAAGTCATGCTGTATTTTTATTTTATTGAAAAATGTAGAACTTTGTTAATTGCAAAACCCAACATGACAACCTGATCCAACTATAAATGAAATGTTTCTTGTTGGCCACTAGAGGGCAGCAATACTCCGTCTTGTAACCTTCACTTTAGTCAGTGTTGAGGATGAATACAAGAAAGTTATGAGGTAAATTCTTTCAAGTCATATCTATTAATAGAGATGAAGCAAAATCATTTAGAAACTTTTCATTCCAAAAACACACAAACCTGTTATATGCCGCCATATTTGTGCCGTTTACATCCTGGAAAGACTAGTTTGGCTCAAAATGACTTTTTAAGGTCCACGTCGGTGCAGAAATTTAATCGGATGAAGTTAATTATAAAAGTCAAGAGGAGATGAAATGCCTGGCAGCACGAACATGAGTCTGTGTGAGCAGATGAGTACGAATGAACACAGCAACATGTGTGTGTGTGTTAACATTCAGTTGCTTTGAGATTCCTTCAAATCCTTTAAAATGTTTGTGCTTTCACAAAACACTTATTTTTCGAGTCATTATTATTGTCCTCATCTATTTATTGAAGAACTTGACACTTTGAATTCAACTCCTTCTTTGACTCAGATACAACTTAAAGCATCTTTTCATGTAAAACATTTCAGATTTTATTTCATGTCGCATCCTAAAGCTGCCAGCTCTCTACCCAAAGGCACGGTCATAATAAAATTAATAATTATAATAATAAAAGTAATACATGGCTGTTAAACAGATGAACTGGTGGGTTGCGGCTCCTTTAAAGCATGACCTTGTTTTTGACTTTGATATTACCCACAGAGGATCCCACAAGGCTCAATATTATACCATGGATCATAAGGTTCATTTGAATTCAGAAAGTATCGTCTCACCTCCGTGAATCCATTATTCAGCCCCGCGCCCATTGTGAGGTCTGCTTTAACAGACGTTTATCCGCACATACCCCGTCATAATTGGCATTCTAATGGCTGTAAAACGACACCAATAAATGCTCCCCAGTCGCAGACACCAGCAGCACTTTAGCATCTTTAGTAAAGCAAGCTTCTTTTCTCACTTTCCAACAGGACCACTAAGATAGCTGCACATAAATGCACGGAGACCGAGACGTTTAACCCACCCACACTCACTTCTACCATAAAATAAAGCTTTTTAAATGCACATAGCAGGAGAGAGGTGGGGGTGCACCTTCTCTTTCTTTGGTTAGTGAAGCCTGTAAAGAATTTAAGAAATGATGTGTTCGCAAGTTGTGTTTTATTTTTAATAGCAATTAATCCTGTGATTTTTATTGCGCTGCTCTCAAATGTAAGGGACTTTGCGGGCTCAGTTAGGCCTGTTATAATCAAAGAGTTCTTTCAGGTAATCATGGATTGACAAAGCAACACTCTTCTGTAGACATTTTTAACAAAAGTTGTGTAAATTCTGAAAGCATTAATTTAGTTGACTTTGATGGGACATCCACGTTTGAGAAGACTGTCTTGTATATCACAGTAGTCCCACGATACTTTGCAGTTCGACCTTCATAGACTTGCTCTTTCGCAGTTTTTTAAAAGTTGCCTTTACTACTTGTTTAGCTCAGTTTAACCCTGTGTGTTCAAACCTAGTCCTCGAGGACCATTCATTCAACCTTTATTTCATCCATCCATTCTCTTCCGCTTATCCGGGGTTGGGTCGTGGGGGTAGCAGCCTAAGTAGGGAGGCCCAGACTTCCCTCCCCCCAGCCACTTGGGCCAGCTCCTCCAGGGGAGGAAGCTCTCTCTTCACCAAGACAGACCGATACAGCGCCCGCTTCACCGCCGACACTGCACCTATCCGCCTATCGATCTCACGCTCCATTTTTCCCTGATTCGTGAACAAGACCCAAAGATGCTTAAACTCCTCCACTTGGGGCAGGACCTCCTCCCTGACCCGGAGAGGGCACTCTACCCTTTAACGGCTCAAGACCATGATCCTCATTGCATCCTCATCGACTATTGCAATGCACTCTAAGCTGGGATCAGCCAGGCCTCCATTTCACGTCTTCAGCTCGTCCAGAATGCTGCTCGGCTTTTAACCGGAACTCGTAGGTCTGAACATATTACTCCAGTTCTGTCCTCCTTTCACTGGCTCCCTGTTCGTACTAGGATAGTTTTTAAAATTCTTCTGTTGACCTTCAAATGCTTAAATGGCCTCGCACCCCTTTACCTCTCTGAGCTTCTGGAACCTTATGTATATATATTTTTTCTCTTTAATTTTACTCTCATTGATTGTTGTTGTTGTTGTTGTTGTTGTTGTTGTTGTTGTTGTTAAGCACTTTGATAACAGGTTCTGTTTTAAATGTGCTCTATAAATAAAGTTGACTTGACTTGACTCATCCCGGCCGCGTCGCACTCTGCTGCAAACCTCTCCAGCGAAAGCTGTAGATCACGACCTGATGAAGCCAACAGGACCACATCATCTGCAAAAAAACAGAGAAGCAATCCTAAGGCCACCAAAACGGATTCCCTCAACACCTTGGCTGCACCTTGAAATTCTGTCCATAAAAGTTATGAACAGAATCGTGACAAAGGGCAACCTTGGCGGAGTCCAACTCTCACTGGGAACGAGCCCAACTTACTGCCAGCAATGTGGACCAAGCTCTGACACCTGTCATACAGGGACCTAACAGCCCATATCAAAGGGCCTGGTACCCCATACTCCCGGAGTACCCCCCACAGAGCTCCCCGAGGGATGCGGTCGAACGCCTTCTCCAAGTCCACAAAGCACATGTAGACTGGTTGGGCAAACTCCC